AGGTACAGCTTGCCATACTAGAGCCGTTCGGTATACAAGGAAGGTAATGTGGCTAGCACTACGCTTTAACTACCTATTATTACCTCAGGATTGTGGATCCCAAGTACTCATTTAAGGCTGAGTCGACCTAGGTACCCAAACTATTTTTATTTTAATAAAAATAGTCGGCTGATGAAATGCCGGGTGTGGGATTCGGACCCACTACCTTGAGATTGGTAGACGAAAGCCTGTACCTCTACGCCCCGGGCACCTATCATTCGAACAATTTAATTTTTGAAACAGATAGCCACATGTTTTCTCTTTATGCACAGAGACTGTGGTAATCACTAAATTTGACGTTTAGACTATACATATATTTTTGACAGGCAGTTTTTTTCGTTCAAAAATTTTAAATATTTTTTTTCTCAAAACCCGTCAATCTAACATTGACGGGTTTTGAGAAGTTTTTAGAAGAGATTAGAGTGGTTAGGATCAAAATTCATAAAATTTTACAGAGAATTTAAGTATGTAATAAAAAATGGGGGCACCCATTTAAAATAAGAAAGTTGCTGTCAACTTCCGGTATTTCCGGACGTGCCGCCATATTGAAAATATTTTTAATCGATAGATCCCGTTGTGAAACTATGAAGTGCAAAAAATCTCCGAGCTAGATATTGTAGTTCTCCAGAAACTTCTAATGCAAGCTCAGCCTGGGACACCCTGTATATCTTGAGAACGGTTGCTCGTAGCGATTTTTGCCAAGAGACATTTTTTACGTAAAAAGTCACAGAAATGTATATTTTTTTCACTCAGCAGTTTTATACAGGTACGGACAAAAAGTTATTAGCCTACGAAACAGTTAAAACACATGTAGGTGGCGCCCACTACAAATAGGAGTCATATTGACATCAATCAAATTTCTCATGTCCAAAAACTACCGGACACCAACTTTCATCTTAATATTGACGTTACTTTCCAAATTGTAGAATATTGAGTATTGTAAGAATATGCTACCGAAGTTTTCGGAATACAGTTCGGACCACCCTGTATAATTATATTTAAATTATTATTATAACTTTGTATATCTACCATATAATCAAAAAAACATAGCGTCAAAGACGGCTGGGGAATGACAATCGATAATAATTTAGACTTGAGCTCGCTAAAATTCGATTGGAATTTCTCAGCCGTCTTTGACGCCTTTTTTTCCTATTATTGGGATCGTATATTTTTATTTGTACTAAATGGGATTTCAGTAGAATTTCTTGTTACACGGCTAATCTCCGAACATTAAAACGTTAAATATTGATCAGTACTTAACGACTTTATGGTGTAATGTGAAGGAATAATCGTAAACCTTGAGGAAACATGATATCGCTTAATTGTGTGCGAGCCCACGGGTGTTATTGGCATTGAGCTATAAAATCGATTCTCGTAATAACCGAGAACCCGCCGGAATTATCGCAAATTTAATTAAACGTTATTAGGGGAAGAATTATTTATAAATTAGGGTTTTTATTAAAGGATATGTCTGAACGAAATATGCCAGACAAATAATGTAAATAGTCAAAACCTATTGTGCGAAACGAAGGTACGTAAGATATACCAAACCGGAAGTAAACAGAACTTATTTATTAAAATAGATATTAACAAAGATCATATACCGGGTGCGTCTCAAAAGTGGCTCACTCCTATAACTTTTTTATTTTTTTAGTTAAAAAAAACGAGATGTGGTATGTTAGTATATGGCATAAATTAAGTTTGATTGACGTATTCAATTGTTTTCGGTCACTTCCTGTTTCACCTGAAATGGCTACAACTTTTTATTTTTAAATGGCACCCTTGATATTTTTTTACTTTATTCGATAGAAAATGACATTCTGAATAGAATGACATATCATATTTATGTCAACTTTTGATATTCTCGCTTAATATAAATCATATTTTAAATTTCAATCTAGAGTGCGATGGCTATGTTAACAACACTAATTGTTAATCAAGGAGCCTTGGAAAAATAGATTTGATCGTTTAATGTTTTTGTCTTGTCCTGGCCGGTTAAAAGATGTTCAAATCGTATTTTTAATCATATCTTAAATTTTTCAAATGAAACGAGGGTGGCTCATTAATATATTTGGAAAAAACACACTTGGTATTTCGAATCAAATTTTCGTTATGAACCTCATGTTATAATTTCAAATAAACCATATTCGAAAATGCCAAAAGTTAACATATGATATGTCATTCTATTCAGAATGTTATTTTCTATCGAATAAGGTAAAAGAAAACCGAGGGTGGCCATTTAAAAATCAAAAGTTATTGTAGTCTTTGCCGGTGAAACAGGAAGTGACCGAAAACAATTGAATACGTCAGACAATCCTAATTTATATCATATACTAACATACCAAATCTCTTTTTTTATCTAAAAAAATAAAAAAGGGGTGAGTCACTCTATTATAGGGTGAGCCACTTTTTAGACCCGGTATACTCTGTTTTACGACTCTATCTATTTATAGTTGTAGTCAATTCTTTATACCACCGGCGGTAATTTAACCAATTTGTAAAAATAAAACCTAGTAATTCGTATACTGTGTTTTTTCTTAAAAATATTAATAAATGCATATTTTTTTAATAAATAGCCACACCGATAACATTTATTGAAAAAATATTTTATTGATGTAACTTCTATAAAAATATATTAACGTTGATTTATTCTGTTATGATACGTGTGTCAATACATCAATAACAGCCCTTTTTGACCTTTACAGTTTTTTTTTATTATTCTATTTATATTAGGCAGAAGTTTCAACGTTTTGAGATGTGTCGTAATTTCAACAGAAGTTTAAGTTTGTAAAGCTTTTTGTGGAAACTTATTTTTCTACATAAAATCTTAAACTAAAAAGGTTAAACTTAACTATAACTTTATAAAAAAGATAATATTATATTTTGATGGCAACGAAGATTTATTTTTCTTTTCAACTTTTTACAACCGTAAAAAGCAAGTTATAATTTTTTAATATACGATTCACGTTTTATTATCTTGTATAAAAATTAAAAATTTTATCGTTTGTTTTAATTATAAATATATTACATAAAGTAATAAATATTATATAGAACAGTTATGTTAATATATATGAATAGTTATGTTTATTAAAAAATGTTTTATTTTAGAGAAAAAAAAAATTGTGTTACCTAGTACATCTTTTGCTTAAACTTAGTTATATTTTGATTGTTTGAAAAGTAATCTAATATATACAGAGTGGTCTGAACTGTATTTCGGAAACTTTGGCAACATATTCTGCAGATAAAAATAAGTAAAAAAGTTCGTATAAATGCATGTCCTACAATTTAAACTTAACGAGTAAAATTTTAACTTAAACGAGTTAAAAAAAAGAGTAAAGTTAAACTTAACTATAACTTCATAAAAAAGGTAATATTATATTTTGATGGCAACAAAGATTTATTTTTCATTCAACTTTTTACAACCGTAAAAAGCTAGTTATAATTTTTTAATATACGATTCACGTTTTATTATCTTGTCTAAAAATTAAAAATTTAACCGTTTGTTTCAATTATAAATAATTGAAATTAATAATTTATAAATTAATTACATAAAATAATAAATTGAATAGTTATAAATTATGTTTATTAAAAAAAGTTTTATTTTAGAGCAAAAAAAATGTATTAGAAAAAAAAATGTAGACGAAAAGTTCTAAACCGTTAAAACATATGTAGGTGGCGCCCTCTACAAATAGGAGTCATATAAACATCAAAATCAAACTTCTCATGTCAAAAAACTCCCAGGGACCAATTTTAAATTGAATGGTGATGTTATTTCAGAAATTATTTAGAAAAAATCGAAATAAAAATGACACTTCTACACTCTCTATCTTCGAAAGTAAGCATTTTAAGACAAATATTTATACGAACTTTTTTAGTTATTTCGTCCCATTGCTGCCAAAAGTCACTAACTTACTTTTTATTATTTCCGAGAAAAATGCGTCTAAAGATGAATTGCATTGCATAAAGATGTTATAGTTAGTAACTATTCGGTATTAAAATAAAACATAAATAGCCAGAAATCGTAGTTAATGACTTTTGCAATCGATTCTCCGCTTCAAAACATAGTTAGTGATTGAATTTGGTTGTTCGGAAAAATGTTAGTTAGTGACTTTTGGCAGCAATAGGACGATTTTTATCTGCACAATATGTTGCCGAAGTTTCCGGAATACAATTTGGAAACACCCTGTATAAAAATCATATGTCACAGTTTCAGTTACTATATTCCTTCTAAACGGCTTGACCGATTTTGATGAAATTTTATATATGTATATTAAGTAGGTTTGGGAATACGTTGTTATCTATTTTTATACCCCAGACTTTTTAATTTTTTTTGGTCAAAATTTTTATTTTTGTTTTTTTTATAATGTGGCATTAAAAAATACAAACAACCCAAAATTTTCACCCTTCTGCCATCAACCTCTATTTTAATAGCGATATTAGTAGGTAATTCAATAATTTTAACCCCACAAAAAATATTTGTATTGCAAATTAACGTTTGCCAGGTCAGCTAGTTTTAAATAATACTTACTAACATGCAAATAATTATTTACAACTTAGTAAAATTTGTGCAATAAAAAATAACAAAAAAGTAATATTAATGCTGATTTACCTATAAAAAAGTAAAGATTTAGAAAAATATTGTTAAAAATATATAGAAAGATACTTATATCTGAATTATTTTATGTTAATAGTTAATATATTATGTTAATTATAATTTAAAAAACACATATATCTATTAAAGTATGTTGCACAAAGACATGTAAATCATAATTAGTTCTATTATGATAAGAGAGTATATAAAATATTTTCATAATATTCTGTTATAAACAGAAATGTTTTTCTGTATATTATAATATGTCTTGTATAATTTGTTTTGACGAAAGGTTTTGACATTAATGGAAATTATCAATATACGTTTTTTTTAATTTGCTCAGGTTATAACTTAATATTATCGGATTCACCTTTTATAATTTTCTTCATATATTTCTATTGACACAAAATCTCCAAAAAAACTCAATCATGTAGACGTAATTCCTATAAAAATTGTCCCAGTTTTTCTATTTGACTGATATTAATCCACACTGACACTGTAACCAAAATATTCCTTTTCCAAAATTCAATAACCGTAACCAGATATTGTTATCACCGTAACCTACACTGGCACAGATACTTGACACGTTTTATGCTTCGCTTTTTTAATATAAAAAATGCGATAATACTATCGATAAAATTATTATTATTTTTCTGGCTGTTCACGCTGACGTCGAACGTTGACGTACGCCAAGAGTCGCCAAATCGGACTGGTCTTTCAATCCGATAAACGAAGAGGTTTCGGCTAAAGTCGGAATGGTTCGGGCGGAGGAACGATCGATCTTAGACCGTGAATGTAAAATAGATATGTTTCTTGAAGGAAATTTTGAAGCTTTTTTATAAAATTTGCCATTTTTAAAGCAGAAGGATATTTAAAGGGAATTATATGTCTAACTTAAATTTCGGTTTATCAGTGCCGTTCTAATTTTATTAATCTAGGGTAGACTTAATAATTTGTTGGTTTTATCAATAAATGTTTTTAGTTATTAAAATTGTCAAAATAATTTTTTTCTAATAAAAATAGAGTTATAAGAAGTTTTAATAATTATTTAAGAACAAACATATCCGATGCGCTACTGAAACCTCAAAGTCAAACTAATTCTAATTATTTTTGCCAAGTGGTAAATAAAAGCGAAAATGTAAGATAGATATACAGGGTCCGGCAATAGTGCGTCGAGCATCTGTAGTTCCTAGCATAAAAAGCTTGGGAATTTTGTTTTCAGGAAAATATTTCAACTTCTCTATGATGGCTCAAAAAAGTGTGAGTGGATCGGGATAATTTTTTTAAATAGAACCCACTGTATATTATTGCATTTTTGTCTTCCTTTCAGTAGTAAATAGAGAGTATTCAGAGTAAATATATTTCTATAGTTTCAGAGATATTAATAAATAAGTAAAAAAATATATTTTTCAGCCTTTATTAAAAAAATTATTAAAAATACAAGAACAGTCCTGAAATCAAAACTATATTAGGCATTTACTTTAGATGGTCTGTACTTACTTTGCTATAAATATGGAAATCGTAAATAATACAGGATGTTCATATGATATATGAACCCTAATTTTATTTATATTAGAACCTAAAGAAACTTGAAAGAAACCTAAAGGAAAAACTAATTTGTGACAGTTCTAAAATTATGAACCGCAGATAAATGACTTATAATATAAGTTATTTACCATTACCTGGAAACTTATATGGTGAAATCTTTGTGAAATTTTGATAAAATAATTTAGTACTCACTAAAAACACGGTATGTCGCTAGTGGTAGGAAAAATAATTTTTAGAGGTTACTAGTTTATTTGGTTGCCTGCAAAGGTTGCCTGTGATATTCATATACAGGGTGTTTTCTAATTAATCTAAAAAATAAAAAATCGTTAGAAAACGGCTTAAGGCGGGCTCTTAATAAGTATATTTATTTTTTTCTCGGCAACCGTTTGATGAACAAGAAAAACTCAAAAGATTACCCAATTTTGGTTGAAAAAGGATGGCCAGTCAAAAAAAATATATTTTCTTTAAAAAAGCAGTAGTGTACCATTTATGTTAAGCAAAATATCGATTTTTTTTAATTTTTAACACCCTGTAGATCAGAAAGAAAGTGTAACAGTTTATTTTACAGCGAAGAAAATAAGCCTATCTTGTTTGGGGGTCTACACGTGTTTCCGCCCTTAACACGATAATTTTCTAGGAAAGTCGTAAAATCTGTTTAGTCTGAGGGACCCTTCTTTTTCTCTGGGGAAAACTAAATATTTTTCTTTTCGACTTAAATCTCACGATCATAAAATTAATGAATTGCCTTATAGAATGGATGGGAACCAAGAAATCTTTAATAGAAATCAACAAAGTCGTAAGAACTAAGCTCTAGCCAGACTAAATAAACAGACCCTTATAGAGAAGCCTCTATACAACGCGACACCAACTATTTTTAATATCCATGTCCCATGCCACATGTTCGATAAACCGACGACTAGCCCACCCTGGTCGAACCAAACGTTTTGATATAAATAAGTTAAATAACTAAATTAACAAGGTTCACGTAACGTTATCCTGAAGGATTGCTCTCCTTTTTTTTATCCTATGCAGGTCCGAAATTATGAGAAATAAATACACTGAAATATAATGAAAATAAATTAGAATTGTGATTTGGTAGGGTTTTTTTTTAAGAGTAATCCTCAATTTGTGTTAGGTAAAAATATAGTAAACAATGATAGGGTAAATTCAGGAAATAATGAGATTTACGTAGATATTTATGATAATTGAATTTAATAGCTGAAGTTAACATTACTGGTGCCATCTAGGTTATATGGTGTGAGTTAAGCCTAAAACACTAGGGGGTTGGAACCTCCTCGGCCAATCAGAGGGTACCGGTAAAAGGGTGCCTGATGATGATACGAGGAACCAAAACCATGGGTGGAGCCTACAAACTTACCCCACTTATCCTGATGAAACAAGTGTTAGAAAAATAATTTTCTAAATCAGTTCACTTCTGTCTTTTTAAGTAGTTTGACGTGTTCGGCTTCGTGGTGAATCTCAGTATTTCTTGGTATATTTTTTTATTTTAATAGTCTTTGATTTTCTGAAGTTCTTAAATTTAAAATACTAAGTTTCTTTATTAACATATATTTTTTGATTATCAGTTTACTAACTTTTATTTCTTTCTTTAAATTAAATCCTAATTTAAATTTGATTTCTTATTTTTTTTTCTCTTTCGTAAATTTTAATTATATTAATTTTCTTTCTCTAAGTTAGTTTCTGATTGAATTAGATATTATCTTATTATAATTTTAGGTTCATTGTTTTAAACGCTTAATTTTCTTTTTACTTTTAAATAGTTGTTATTTATATTTTTTTGTCTTTCTTTTATTTTCGCTATTTAATTTCTTAGTATTGTAATAAAGTAGGTGTTGTGTAAAATCAGCATTTTATTTCTACTTCAACACCTTAAACCTAAAATTTAAAAGAATACTGAGAAGGGTCCGTCGATCGTTTATGCAAGAGAGAAGTACCGAAGCATTGACAGCACAGAGCCACAAGTCCACAAGTTCCTGCTGACCAGATTAAGACATTGTTGGTAAGTCCTAGTAGAAGTTGATTACTAACTTTACAGGAGGATCCACGATGAGAGCTTATTACGTATTTTTGATTAAGTTTTATCTTGGTAATTTAATGTAATAATTTACAAGAACGCCACGAAGATTCGTTGCTCTCAATATCCAAGTGCCCCGCTCATTAATATTTAAATAAATATTAAGCTACCATTTTTTTTAGTCAAGGTCACGCTACCATTAGTGAAAAATTCATCACAAAAGTACTTTAGACCTAATGGTTATATAAAAATTGTTTTAAGAACACATAAGGAATCACACCACAATTTTTTAGACTAAGTAGAAAACATCCTGTATATTATCAACTTGACAATGATTGTTGATAAATCAAAAAATACCCATAGATAAATGCAACAAGTTTAGATTGGAAAGCCCGTAAAAATGTTAGGTCGCGAAATTATTTTGGGTCGCGACCGTTATACGCGATCTGGCGCTGCTATAGCGGTCGCTAAGAACAACGGCAAACACAAACAGAAATAATTTTCTCTTGTTAAAGTCAGAATCTTCAAAAATCATAATAATCTTTCAAAATCTAAATCGCTCTCATTAAAGAAATTCCGAAAAGTGTTTATAGCGTTCATTTTCAAAGTAATTATTGCTATCTTGTGAGTTTAATTCAAAAGAAAAAGTGGCATTAAAAACTTAAAAAGCTGTGCTGTGAACTGTGAACTGTGAACAGCAAAAACTATCGTGGATCGTGGCATAACGTCGGTTTCCAATGTTTCATAGGTATTTCATACATGCGTCCTTATATAAAATAAAGTTTCTTGTATGCAACACACTGTATTTTATCTATAAAATTAAACGAAAATAATAATAAATTTGAATAAACAATATATGGCGATATAATTCCGGAAAAAGGCGAATCGCTCCGAAATTTTCAAAAGATTTGGGTCGCGACCGTTGCAAGAACAGCGCCAAATAATGTTTACATTGTCCTTATGGGCACTTTCCAATCTAAACTTGTTTCATTTATCTATGAAAATACCTTTTCTGTGAAAAAAGCCCGATTTTCGCAGGAAAAATTTTGGTTTATATTGAATTTGGGCCTGCGTCTGCAAATACCGGTATGTTTTTTAATATTCTATCTATCTAAATTTTTAATATCATAGTCAGAAATAGTTTTATTATTTATTAACTGTAAAAATGGTATACTTATAAGTTTTATCAAATATTGTGATTTACTTTCTTCCTTGTAGTCAAAATTTATATTTAATAAACTGTAAAATATATATATATTCTTATGTTTTATTAAAGTTACTCTGATATACTAATGTATCAGTGTAACTTTAAAACTAAATCCTTTGAAATCAAATATAAACATAAAAAATATTTACAGCAGAAAATGCGAAGGCGCTGAGTTAAACCTAGTCTCTACTAAGAACACGGAGGGGCGCTTTGACCCAAAATTTTACTATTAACACAGATAACACATAATATTATTATGCATTAACACATAATGCATAATAATATTATGTGTTATCTGTGCTATTAAGTTTCATATCTATCTTAATAGAAGATTATTTTCTTTTATCTATGGTTATTTACTAAGGTTATTTATCTATTCCGTCTCGTGAATACCATCGATAACATTATACTCTTCCTTAATATTTTCTAATTATTATTTGTATCAGTTAATTATAGTACTTACTCAAGAAGGAATAATAATTGATCTTGATCCTTTTTAAGCTGTACGCACACTGGTGCGATCACGGCCGCGATCACGATTTCCACGCGGCCGCGGCCAAAAGTTGCCGAAGAATACATATGAGCCGTTTCACATTGGCGCGATCGAGTTTTGGAGAAGAAGCGGCCTGGCGGCGTTCTATTCTGCGGTGGCGATCAGATGCAACTTGTCAAGTTTGATCGCGTGATCGCCACCCAACTGATAGGAATTTTCCGTTATTTGGTGTGTTTTTTCTTGTTGCAATTTAGAAATGGAGTTAACAGAGTAGGTAATTAAGGCTGTAAAAACACACAAAATTCTATATGATTTATCCGATCCAAGTTACAAAAATAATATCTAGAATTAAAAATAAAAAGTTTGAGACAAAATTGGAGTTGCAATTG